AATATATCAATAGGAGTCTCAAAATAGGCAAATACTCTACAGTACCGATAATAAATAGTAGATTTATAAACTCATTTTCAAATAATACACTTGTGTATGTTCAAAATAACACGCAAGTACTCAAAATAGCATTATTTCATTTATGATTTTATAATAACATTATAGATATTATGCAATTAATAATATTTGCATATTCTTTGATTTAATTCAAATATGATAAAAACTAATTTAAAAAAAAATAAACTATCAGTGAAAAGATTGAAATAAAAAATCATTAATTGCATATTTTTGAAACTCAAATTATTATATAAAGACCACATTTTGCTCTTTACTTATTTATTAATTCACCTGTCTATTTAGTTTGTTTTTAATTAATTTGCTACAGTATCTTTAAAGATTATAATTGCCTTAACAAAATCTAACTTATTTAAATATTCATTTACCATGTCTTCTCTTAAAAATATCCAAGAATCTCTTTAAAAAGCCCAATCAAATAAAAGAAAAGCTTGTAAACACCTTTAGTCTTAGAGACCTTGAAGCTTTTAAGCTCTATAACATGTGTGAAAATTTTTTGCACTCAATCATTGAAGAATGTTGTATAAAGTTGTTAAATCGTAATCTCTTAAAATAGGTTGTAACTAGTAAACAACCTTTGTCAACTATAGAAGAAGGTTTTTTCAGTAACTTTGATCCATACTATAAGCTCTTCTTCACACAAACCCTTTCTGAAAATATTAATAATCAATTTGAATCTGCTAGAATGATTATAAAAGGTCTTTTAAAAAATAATAAAAGCAGCCCTATCTCAGTATTACTGTTTATTAAGTCAATGATAAATGGATGATACAAACTATTCTTCTTGATCTTATTCCTTTACCTGGTATCTATACCAACGATTATATTAGAAAAAAGATCCTCGATAGTGTTCCAAATTGTTAAAATTTTACTAACCAGTTAGTTGCCAACTAACCGGTTATGTATATCATGTGATATTTTTAAATATTAGCCAATCAAATTCAAGAAATCATTCTAAATTATTCTGAATAAGCGGAATATCTCAGAATTATATTAATTGAATGATTAGTTGGTTAGTTGATTAAAAAATTTTCTAACTGGTTAGTTGGAAAGTTGTCAACTATCTAGTTTTCCAACTAATGATTTGGAACACTAGTCCTCAAGCTCATAAAGGAGTTAGAAATTAAAACAAAAATTATTGGGTTTAGTAAAAATAACACATTAGATAACCAAAATTGCTGTAACTATTTTTAAAAAGCTATAAACCCTGATCTCGTATTTATTCACTTCACAGTTTATTTTATTAATCTTGCAGTTGAAAAATTTCAAAAAAATTATTATATCTAAATTAATAAGACCTATAACTTTTATGACAAATTAACAACCTCACTTTCTATTTTAATGGAATTAAAAAGAATCTCTACTATACTAAATCATTAATTACTCTATTCTAAAATTAATTTAAACAAAGAGTAGTGTTTCACTTACTTAATTCTTAAATAGTTTATCCAAATTCGTGCTGTTACTGATACACTTACTTATTCTTGCCCAGACATTAAAGAAATTTATCTAAACCTTGATGATTGAAAAATTATCAAGCAAGTAATAGAAATCCTTAAACCTTTTTACATGGTTAACTTAGCTTTATCGTATAATCTACAGCCTTCTCAGAGAGATACATAAATAATTATTCATGGCCTTTTATTATTTCATAATCAATATCTTGATAATGAAGCAGCAAAAGAAATAAAGAAAGGTTAAAAAAATATTGAAACCACTTTTTAGAATTCTTCACTATACCCTTCCTACTTGATTTCTTGACTAAGTTTGATATCTTCTACAAATGTAATCAAAAATTATCTACTGGTCAATTAGAAAAACTTTATTTACTATACAAAACAGACAACTCAACTTCGATATCTTAAATAAAAAATCTAATTAAATTTTTCCAAGAGCTAATGATAGCTAATGAAGGAAATGAAAAAAACTAGTAAATGAGCTAGACTTTTACCTTTTCTTGCCTAGTGAGCCAGGAATTAACATGTTTAAGTGGTGAAAAAATAATGCTTACCGATATCCAATCTTGGCATCTATAGTAGTGGATTTTTTTTTCTACAAGTTACTTGCATTCCTTATAAACATGCCTTCTTTATAGCAAAGAACTTGATTAGATATATGAGAGAGTGCTCACTAAAGCAGAAAGTTAAAGCTTCATTGTTTTTAAAAAATTAGCTAGAAGCAGAGACTTTAGAATAAAACACAAAATATATAGTATTTGAATATTTGTAAGATCATTTATTATAAAATGCATTTATAATAGTTTTGTTTTTTTATAGTTTTTTTTATTTTCTAAGTATTGAATATAAAAATTTTCAACACAACATTTTCATGTTATAGAGTTAGTGTTAGGGTTTAAAAAGAGTTTTAGAGGTTTAGAGTATTTTTACTTAGAGCATCTTGTACTATTGCACTGATCAATTAGCTAGTTTTTGAGGTTTTAGTAAAAAGTCTTGTAAAATTATTAATATTAAATTTTTTAATAAACTTATTATCGTTATTACTATCACTATCAATTAAGATTTAATAATATCTAATCTTGCATGTAACTTTTCAAACTCAATCCCAAATCTAACTTTAAATTAAAACTCAACTTTATAGAGTTGAGTTAGACTGGACCAGACTTTTAATATTCCTACCCAGGGCATAGAGAGGTATGCTCAAAAAATTTGCTCTATTTGTTACACAGCTATTCAAATAAAGGTACATGGCATTACATTAACAATTATTGAATTACAAAATTACATTTTTGATATTTTTATTATGTAATTTTTTGAATAATATATATATTACAAAATTACATATTTTTTAGATTTGTTTTGATGAAGATCAGCATATATAATAAGTTTATATCTATTTAAATTCCAAATCTTGTATTCACTCTGTTTCAAAAAATTTTCAATAAATACTCTAATCTTTCAATAAATTTTGACTCTAACAAAAAACTTAACAAACACTTTAACAAAAAACTCGGCATATTTTAAAAAAAGTCTACTAAATAGTCCTTAGAGCAGTGTCATTTATCACCTAATTTTTTTTATCAGAGACTTACCCCCTAGTTTTTAATATATAAATTATCAGGTTTTATATATAAAATTTCAATTTTTTTGACCCCCCTAAAAAATTACCTGATAATTGTTAGCTCCCTTACCAAACTTTTTTACTTGTTCATTAACTTATATTAAAGATACAAATGCTCGTGAGGCAAATAAAATTTTCTATAATATATTAAGTGAAATTGTTTTGGATAAAAACACACTAGCTAATATAATGGAGCAATGTAGAAACTTAATAAAAAATAGAAAGATACATTTTTTTTACAAAATTATATTCAACTCTGATTCATTTTCATAAGTATACTAAAATAGCTTGAATAGCCTAAATAAGGATTTTTTATATTATTTCTAAATTAGTTATCTTTGAGTATTTGCTACTTTACTACTATACAAGTTTTTTTTATAAATTAAAATAGATTTAAACCAGCCTCTATTATATTTTTTACCATAAGTATTTCTTGAGTAAAATAGCAAAATCAGAATTATTCAATATTCTACTATTATTTTTACCATACATGTTTTTTTTTTATTGTATTGTACATATTTTTTTTTTATTATACAAGTAAAATATAGTAGACTAGTTTAGTTATAGAGATGTAGAATTGAATAGATTTTTTTTAGTTTGTTAAGGTTTACTAATTTCACAAAAGGAATTGATTATGCATCTTCTTTAATAATCAAAAAAAAAATTTGCTTCATGGGAGGTTTAATAATATACTTATTAACTTTTTTTCTCACTTTTAATACATGTACAGATAGAAGTAAAACTATTGAGTTTTATTTGAAAGAATCACCATGTTTTATCAAATTTATGCAAAAATACTGATCAAGGATCAGATAAAAAGAAATGAAAGTCCCACAAATCCAAGTCTAAGTCATCGAGAAAAAGTAATGCTGAAAATGCCGATTCTTTTGAGAAGCCCAAATGCCCAAACAGGAAAAAAGGATTAGGATTGTCAAGAAATAAAAAAAAGAGACGTAAAAAAAAAGATATAAATGAAGACTCATTCAGCAAAGGCTTATTCAGCACTAGAAATAAAAAAGAATGATTATCAGATTTAGATCTTAGAGTGAGTATTTATTTAATTTTTGTAATTGAATAACTGATTTTATCTGATAACACTATATTATATTATGTTACAATAGGAGAAGTTATTAGATTTGAAGAAACAAGAGATCGAACTAAGGTAGTGTGAGGTAAAAATCATTGAAATGGAACGCATTGCTAAGAATTCAAAATTTCATTAAAATTTCTGGTTACATCGCTGGGATTCTGTTTTTTTTTTTTTTTTGCGTTTTTTTTTTTAGCTTAATTGAAACGCATTGTTGGGATTTTTTTTGTGTTTCGCTTGCCCTTTTTGGGATTTTAACTTTTTTTTTGCGTTTCGCCTATCATTTTTTTAAAAAAATTTTCTTAATATTTGCATTGCAAATATTTTTTGCATGTCTTTTGTTGTAAATATTTACATACGATGATATAATTTCACTGTATTTAGCGGTACTCTAGTTGGATTTCAGGATTTATAGGAATAAAATATTTATCGTTGCCGTTTGCTTACAATCGTTAATTCATCAGCATACTTAAATTAGGCTATATATTTAATTCAGTGTTATCACTAAATAAATTCTCTTTTTACAAGTGACTTTACTATATACTATGGTGACATTAGTGAATAATTATACTCTTTAATTATTTCAAAGGTTTGAATTCTGTGAATTGCGTTTATTGAAGTACTATCGTTCTCTTTTTGAATTTTATTTACATAATGATTGAATTTTCTAATTCACTAAATTTCTTCTATTTGACGACTTTAAAATTAAGTTGACAATTCGCAAATTTCGAAAATTTACAGATTTTAAAATTAAAAAAATTTAAGACGGTCGATTCTCCGGGGTTGCGCGGTTTCCGGAAGTGGTAATATCGACCATTACAATTTCCTCTCCCAAGTTTAAATGGGCATGCTTTATATCAACCAATGATATGCGTCCTTCTTCAAGTTGCAATTTTGGTGTGGTAGGTTCGGTCAAGTTGTTCTAGATATCCACCACCATAAAATCGCGATTTCCTTTAATCCGTCGCTCAATTAAGGAATACATTAATTAATCGGTATCGGTATATTGATTTGAGCTATTCAATTTCGTGAATGTTTATTTACATTGGTTGAGTAGATTAATATAACAATAATAATTGATCAATTGGCATGTTCAGTTAAGCTTTCATTTAGCTTTATATCTTTTTGAATATTTAAAAATAGATGTCTAAACATTTACCGGATTTTTTTTTAGGTTTTTGTGTTAAACATCAAATCACAAACCTGACTAAACGAATATTGCAAACAATAATTTGTGTTTATGCAGCACTTCAAGATCGTTCCTTCAACCCTAATTCACTATTATATCTCTTATTTTACCATCAAAAACTTTATATTTCTTTTTTAAATTTTTAAATTTTTTTTTATTAATTTTTTATGAAGAATTTACAAATAAGGGTTTGTAACTCAAGCATATAACGCGTAAGATATAATTGAAATTAATACTATATATCTGCTGTGGCAATTAAAAATAGGATTTTTCGCGTTCACTTCTATGTTGATTCGGAATTTTTAAGGTTAGGGTGGGATTTTTAGTATAATTATTCCGTTCTAATCTAAGTGGATTCCGACCTATTTCGCACTTACAACATTTATAACCAAGTTTAAAAAATTAACATATCGGAAGGATTGCGGAATTGGTCTAAAATAGGGCCCCTGGATTTAACAATTACAGGATGCATAATAGCTTAAATTTTGGGTCTGTTTTATGATCACATTGTTAAAATATATAGACCCTAATTTAGGAGATACACGGATTTGACAAAGCCATATTCACCGATTACGATCTGGGAGATGAAAATATAAATGAATATGAGGTTTTTAAATTTAAAAAAAACTCGTAATTAATTAATAAAGAAATTTTAAAAAAGGAATAAAATTTAGTAAGATGGTAATTAATCGAGAACGCCATTCACATGTTCATCATCAAAGTTATTTTCTTGAATTAGTTCACCAGTTTTGGAACTCAGGAGCATAGCCACATCAAAATGTTGTTCTTCAAATGCAACTAGGGCAGGCTACAGTCAACCATGAATTGAATAAAGTTTTATTAAAATAAAAAATAAAATAAAATAAATTTTTTTGAATAAAGTAAACGTACAGTTTTCCCATACGAATTAGTGAGAAATGGATCAGCGCCTAGATCAAGTAATTTTTGAGCCATTTCAACAGTTTCCACCAGATGTAAAGCTGTATCGCCATCATGATCAGGGAAATTTATGTCAGCACCTTGAGACAAGAGAAATTCGACAAGTTCGATGTGATTATAAGAAACAGCAGCAGCTAATGGCGTGTAACCATTTTGATCTTGAATATTTGGGGATATTCCGGTGGATAAGAGAGCCTTTACAAAAAAGTAAAGAATTATTGAGAAATAAATATATAAAATTGACGAATTATTGAGAAATAAATATATAAAATTGGCGAATTAATAATAAATACCTTGACGCGTTCTATATTTCCATCACCTTTATAAAAATAATTATAAGAATTTTTTTAGAAAAAATGAAATTACCTTGCTACAGTAATGGAAAGTATTTTACCAGCGGCAATCCATATATTGTCATCAGTCATGGTTGTCCAGTATTCCAGTATTCCAGTATACTTGTATAAAAAGTTTATATCGATCGATCGATGGCCGTTTTTTTTTTTTTTTTTAAAGTATTAACATCAAAATTTACTATACTCAATTGATGATAATCACATGATTTAAAATCATTGTACAGATTACTGATTATACTGATTGTATCATTACAGACAGCAAGACAGTACAGCAGTGCTTGATAATTGTTATGATCTCTTGGAGATACCGGTAATTAACCCGATTGGCATGAGTCTTTTGTCTAAAAGAATTCTAGATACTAAAGATGAAGATAAATAATAACATTGTTTAAATCTTATTGGTATGTAATTAATTTTATTCAAAAATATTTATATAATCAAAATAATCAAAAACAATCTACGTAGTTATTTAAAAAATTGAATTTACAAAGAATTATAATAAGATGTACGTACGAATTAAATTTTTGAATAAGCATGGGTTTTGTAATAAAATTCAAATCTATATATCAGATATCGTTCTTGAATTAAAAATTTCTACAAGTACTACGACATACACATAATAAAAAACAATGAAATAAATAACAAATCAGAATTTTTAAAAAAATGTTCCTTGTTAATGTCAAATGTATGAAATTTTCTTCCTACAATCGATAAGATGTTATCTAAAAAAGGTTGTTCGGATTTCTCTTATTGTTAGAAACATTTCTAATTAGACGTTTGTGGAATTTTTTTTTTCTTTAGTAATGAAAAAAAAAAATTTGTGTTAGGTTTGTGTTAGGTTTGTGTAATTTTGTATAGTTTTTTGTGAGAATATTTTTTCTTTTTGTAAGACAAAATTGTTTATTGTGTTCAACCGAAAATATGAAGATTTTGAAATAGAAAAAAAAAAAAAAAAAAAAGATATTATTAGTATATTATTAGTATGTACATATATATATATATTAAAAAAAAAAAAAATTATAATTTAAAATAGAATGCCGGAGCAGTAAAGATAACACATGTAGGAATATCGAAGCGCTTTCGGGTGATATGCACCAAAATAGGAAATATGAATCTATGCGGTTGAATGGAGATACACTCATTTCCCATTGAGGAGTATTAGTGATACCAAAAGCTGCAAAAGAATGTATTACTTGGAAGCTCCATCTGGAACAGTGAACGCACATTCAAGTGCACTAAGAAACGAATTTGGAAAAAAAGATGTTGAGCAATCGCAATAGAATTACATATTTACTGGCTATAAAAAAAGTTACCTTCTTGATTTCAATATATATTTTTATTAAAAATTTAATGCAAAATTTATTAAAACTCGTGATTTGATAAATCAAAAAAGATACATTAAACAATAGGCGTTCGTGCAAATAAAAAAATAGTTGTGTAAATAAGTATCCCTGAATCACAAAGAAACTCATTTTGGTACGACACCGCGAAACTCATTCCTGCTTTCTCCGCATTCGTTTAGCATCTGCGAGTCTATCAGTTATTATTGCATTATATGTCATTCGATATATCAGGCTTGTTTTAATTATGCTAAGTTTTAATTAATATCTGATATTATCTATATAATTATTGATTGTATCAGTTATAGTGAGTTTAGAATAAAGTTACAAATCACACTAATCATACAAATCAACAATTACGTTTTATTTTTGTGAAAAAAAAAAAATCTTGATAATTTTGATAATATATAAATAATAATAAATAGAATAAATAGTATAAAAATAAATTTATTTATTGTAAAATTTATTATATAAAAAAAGTTACGTAAAAAATTATATAATATATATATAAAGTTATATATAAATTAAGTTATTAAAAATTTTAAAAAAAGAAAAAAAAATTATATAAGTTAATATAGTAAAATTATATAAGTCATATAAATTGTAGATGAAAGATTATAATATTTTTATTCTAACGATATAAAAAGCATCTTTTTTGATTGAATATGGTTAGTGAGTTTTATTGTATCACAAATTCTTATCAGGAGAAATGAAGGACATTTCCGGTAATTCGCGCAACCATACACAAACTACATGTAATAGATAACGGATTTAGAATGAATAGCATCGTGCAACCTTATTCATAAAACGAAACAATAAGAATACAAAAGGATTGAACGTCCGCTTACTCCGAGTCGATGCAACGTTCTTGTGGCGGTGTTACTTGATGATGAAAGCGGCATATATGTACTGAGTTGTGAAATTTTTAGAGTATATTTAATAATGGCATCATGAGTGTTACAATCTAATGTAAAAAGTGGTTTGATATTCGTTAAACTATTCTAAAAACTGTTGTTTGTATTTTATTCAGGAAATATGTTGATATTTAAAGCGGTGAATACAAAGACAGGGCTACAAATGGGCAAACGTGCATAAAAACAGCCTTTTTTCTTATTTTAATTCCTGATAAATTTTGTATTGTTGAGTTTTCAAAGGGCGCTACTTTTTCATCCGAGTTCCCAGTCAACTTCCGGTTTGCTTACTTGATTTCTACTGTGTGTGAACATAATGATCAATTCGTGATCAATTCTTACACTGTTGATGTTACACCTAATATTGAATAATTTGAATAATTGATACGCACTATTGGTATGACTAACATACTCTTTGGCTGGATTTGGGATGTATAAAAATCAAAGACATCCTTTTACGTCCAATTAGTTGCCCCCTTGCCCCTTTTTTGTTAAGCCAAGTGTCTGGCACTTTTAATTTTTTTATTTCTCTCAAAACTGTTCTTTTTATTTCCTCTTCTTCGCTTTTAGCCTTTCTTCCCATACTGAAGCTTGTGACTTAGGAAAATCCTTAAGCTTTTCAAGAAAAAAAAAAAAAGGTATTTTCTTGCCATAATTTTCTTTATTGTTTCCATTGATATTTTTTTTTTCTTTTTTTTTTTTTTTTTTTTTATTATTATTTTTCTTGTTGAAAAAGTTCGGATTGGTGAAAAAAGGGTACGCGTTCGCGCTTCCAATTCAGACCATCAATCATTTATTTCTTTGTATGAATGTGACCGTGCATTCCTAATCCTTCCCTCGCACGCTTTCCTTTACCTAATTCCCTCCCCTTTAGTTAATCGCTTAAATCATTTTCCACGTCATCACCTCGCATCGTGATGAACCAATCGTTCTTTAATGATTCTTCAATTCTACGCATACATATTCTTCTCTTCTCTTGGTATCCAATAGTTCTTTTATCCCTGCATCCTTACTTTATATATGATTCAAAAATACCTTTGCATCATCCTTTTTGATATAATATTGTTCTATATGGTCTATATTGGTGGCGCAGTTCTTCATATTTTTTATATTTGCAGATTATTTACTATCTCGGCAATAAATTCTCATTTATATTATTCTGTGTTATCACGTGACAACTAATTGATTAGTCTATTTATACTCATCATCTGTTCTGTTTATTTCCTTTTTTTTCTACCACTTTTATTTATTTTTTTTTTTCACGCATATAGACTACCGTTAAACTACCTACCCATCATACTCGGGTTAAACCAAAAAAAATTTGAATACGCGTCACAAACATGAGCGGTCTATCAAGTCCTAACTCTCAACGAAAACACAGTACTGCTTCAAGTCATAGTGTTGACATATCCGAACAATCACCTAAAGGTGCTAAACGTGATTATGAAGATGATGATGATGGAGATGATAGTGAAGTTGAAACAGGAAAAAGTGAAAAAAGAGCCGGAAGACGTAAAATAAAAATTGAATACATCGATGATAAGAGTAGACGTCATATTACCTTTAGTAAACGAAAAGCAGGAATAATGAAGAAGGTTCGTTATTTTGTTTATCATGAATGTTTTTTTTTTATTGAATGTTTCGGTTGCATAAATAGAAATTTTATCGTTTAAAGTTGCATATGTCAACCTTTGCCATATTTGTCAACGAAGCCAGTTCTATCCAAAAGTAGCTTGTAAACAATGAACATCATCCTTAAATCTAACATTAATTTAAATTTGTATGCAGGCGTACGAACTTAGCACTTTAACAGGCACTCAAGTTCTACTTTTGGTGGTATCTGAAACCGGTCTTGTATACACTTTTACAACTCCAAAACTTCAACCGCTCGTTACTAAACCAGAAGGAAAGAATTTGATTCAAGCTTGTTTGAATGCTCCTGATACGCCATCAGCTCAAGATCCAACTTCCACGGTTAGCATTCATCATACCATGACTTGTAATAATAATATAATATATATAATAATATGTATCATTATCATATATTATATATATATTATCATCATTATATATTATATACATATTATTATATATTGTCATCTCTTCTTATTATATTATTAATCTTACTAAAATCTTTATTTTTTCTCGTTTGTAGCAACGATCTGCGACAAATGCCTCTGTATACGGAAATGATCAATCTGTTTCCGTAGATAATAGCAATAACGATGACTATGACCGGAAGGTAAGAAACCAAACTCATGTACATAAAATTATCTTTAATAAATTTCAATCCCCTTTTTTTTAGTATTACTCCATCTTAATGTTATTCGGTTTTACTCAATACTTACTTTGTCTTTTGTTTTATTCTTTTTATTAGCCACAAGCTGCTGGTCAAATGCCACAAACTCAACAACAATCTTATGCACCGGCTCTTGGTCTACCAAACTACAACTACGGTGGATTGTCAAATAATATGGCTCTTAGTGCTACCGGAGGAATCGCTGCTCCACCATATATGCCCACTAACAGTTATCCTCAATACAATCAACAACATTTGGCGGCTCAGTATGCTCCAAATAATTACATGCAGTCTGCCTATGGTTGGAGTCAAACAGCCGGAGGAAACAGCGCTCCAAATGCTGGCAAGGTGCAATATACTCAATCATCTGAAAAGAAATAATGAACGATTTCATCTTTCATAATGTGATGATTTGAGTGTTCGCACCCAAAGTTTCCTGTGATGATGGCCCGGCCTTTTTCTATCCTATATTTCTTTTGAAATATGGATCTGTATAGCTTCAATCAATTGATTTATGTATAATTTTTCTTTCAATTTATTTTTTGTATCTTTAAAGGTCGTTTAACCAATTTCATTTGATATGTAAATTGGGAGTAGTGGTTGGACCCGTCTGAAAAATCATGACCCGGGTAACCCGTCGGGTAAAGCCGCGGGTCACCCGGGTGGTTAAATGATAAAATAAAAACCAATTCTTATAAAATTATATCTTCTATAATTATAATACGTATGAAATTGATAAAATATTTTGATGAATTGCTAATTCATAACATGCTACTTTTTAAACAATTCAAGCGCCTAGTTAGTTACATTACCTAATTTTTCATATCAGATATTTTTCTCTTTCTGCATATACTGTAACAAAATTATCATCTCATGAATGAAAGAATTTTTATTTAAACCTCAATTATAATCTATGGATACTATTTAAAAAAATTGATATGTTGATTCTCGATTAGCAGAAGGGAACACCCAAATGTATTTCTGTAGTAAATCTCCAAAAATGAGAGAAAAAAAAAAAGCTGCTCGATACGTAAGTATCGAAAACGGCTTGTCTCGAATCATCACGAGATCAACATGTGATATCTCCGAATATGTTTTGTTTGGTCTAGTGATCGATCAAGTGATCGATCAGTGATGTTAGGTAAGTATGAAGTAATCCTTACGTGAGATGAAGTTTTGAATAATTAGTTGAGTAAGTATGAGGTAATTTTCTTCTGCGAACCTGACATTCGTTCGAGCAAAGTTTATCATTGTTATCCTTACACTACGAGCTTAAATAAAGATAAGTCAGTTACGATAGAAGATGAATCTTCGTCAGACTAATTTTGAAACGTTTATCTGTGGATTTACAGAAAAATGACACGGAACACAGCCCCAATGCACAAAATTTAAGCCATCGCAGAAGAATAATGGCCTAGCTCAATTTTAAGTGTAGTTTTAGGTTGAATAGAGATATCAATGCTGCTCGTGATATATTAAACAGAGCAGAAGGGCGTGGGACTAGCCTTGCGGGAGCGGTATCAATGGATGCCGTGAAGAACCTAAATTCTCAACCAAGAAGCTCCCATCTTCAAACCTGTAAAGATTATTAAGTAAATTTTAAATAATAGTTGTTAGTTCTGCCTGTGATTTTTGCCGATCATATATTTATTATTTACCCAAGCAAAATTCTCTAAAAATGATATCTAGTAATTCTTCATTATATTCTTTACCACTCAGTTCTCTTAATAAAAAGCTATTTGGAAATCACCACTCACCACATCTAAGGAGATTTCTTGTTGCAAGGCTTTAACTATCTCATCAATTTATTTTTCATCCTTAATAAAATTAATAAGAGTATATTTACCCTGCCCTCACATGATCGACCAATAAAAATTGAAGATCAGGTGTAACAGGAAAATTCAAATGATCGAACAAAAAAATTCCCTGCAAAAATTTTACTCTTCGCCCATAACTATACGAAATAACACGGTTTATTTTGGTTGTTTGATTTATGTTACACCTAATCTTATGGGGGCATGTGCGATGTATAAATTATCTCAATTAATGATAGCTATTTTTTTACAAAAAAAACAAAACTTAAATTAAGAAACCATCCTCTGTGACCTAATTAAAAATTGAATTCTCAGTAAAAATTACAGGGGGAACCAATTTTTGTGGGTGTGTTACCTAAGAAGTTAAGCAACGTTGATCTCAACGTTAACCTAAACGTTGACCTAAAAGAACCAAAAGAACGCGAAGAAAGTATCACCAAAAGAACGACGAAGAGACTACTAAAAGAACGACGAAAGAGCCACAGAAAAGCACTGAAAAAATGACAAAAAATCCCGAAAAAGCGATGAAAGAAAACGTTGACCTAAAAAAAAAGAATGCGATTCAAACTGATGAACGCTAATTAATTAATGGCCTTCATTATAGTATCTATATATGTTGTGCCTCAGATTAATACTTGCGTTAGATGTCGACTTTTTGGCCCGCATTAACTGATCGACATTGATTGACCTAAATTAAGCCCAAATCCTTCCCAGATTCTTACTCTAACCCTATCCTAACTTAGGCCGATTGAAATCTGAGGCAAGAGGCATAATACCCTTTTTTTCTTTTTTTTTTCTTGAAAAATTTTGGATTGTAGTTATAGTTGATGAAAAATGGTTCTTGTTGAATCAAGAATCTATCTATATATATTATCGTTATTAGTTATGTAGTGGTACTTTAGAAAAAAGATTTTTGAAGTGCGTATATATATGTATATAATTTCTATATCGATATATACGCGCACGTATTTCATAAATAAACAAATAAAATTTTTTTTCTTAAAAAACATTAAATTATTTAAAAATGTTTTTTTGTTAAATAACTAAATAAATTTTTTATAATGAATTTTATTTAAATATTTTATTTAAATATTTATTTTAAATCCCGATAAGTTGTTTAAATAAAAATCCTGTTACCCAAAGAACTCTGGAAATCTTTCTACCTTAAATGTCATCAAATATTTTTAAACGCAAGGAAATTTATTAATCAATCTGGTAGTGATTTACAAGAATTAGAGTTTCATTCATAATTAAGTACCGGTTCATTTTAGGTTCATTTAGGTTGGGTTGTTTTTAATGCGTATCTGTATACATACGCACTTGGTACGCATATACCAGATACGTATGTATGTTTTACCTTGTTTAGGAGACTCTTTTGATACTAATGAAGTAATGATATTAATGAAATAATTTGTAGATTATGTGTTTATTTAATCGCGACGGATGTAACTCTCATAAACGTAAACGCCACACATTTTAAGAATGTATAAGAGGTAATGATAAGTTTATGTAAATAAACCATTTTTTTTTTTTTTTTCCAACCTTATTCTTTGTTAAAATTGTGGTATAATTGGTCGAAATTTTATTTTTTATTAGTATGTATATTTTTTACTATTACAGTATTCTGTTATTACTCAATTACTTTATATATTTTTTATAAATAAAAGAAAAAACAATTCAATTTTTACTTGAATTATTAAAAAAAAACATCTGACTCACTTGACTCACTTTTGAACAATTAAAGAAAACAATGTTGTCATGAGACCTAAATTTACGAGAAAACTTTACAATATTTCGTAATTTATTTATTAATAAAAATTTTTTTTTGGATTTCGGCAAGAAACGAAATTATTCACGAATCATCACGTGATTGGAAAATTTGTAATTATCCGTGAAAGTTAATTATTTCCCACGTCTGTCATTTGGTCTTCCAGTATTCGTTGATGATTAACGTTAAAGTTTCGGGGAAATCTAAAACGGAGAAATTGCATAATTAGGACCAATTTTAGGCATAGAAACATACAAAGAATTTGAGTCCCACAGATCACTTTTCTTCATTCCAATTAGGTATATAAATATAGATGAAAGTAGAATTTGATCTGAAGTTCCCGTTTTAAAAAAGATGCATAAATATGCGTCGCTCACTATTTTCTTTTCAGTTACAAATCCTTCGAGTAAGAAGATTTTCCGTAATGTCTCATTCTTCACCTGCAATCCTTGGTACCTTTAAAGTTCCTGAAATTCACAATGAACCTATGGTATATTTTAAATTTTACTCCTTTTTTTAAAAAAAAAATTTACAAAAAAAATAATATAAATTTATTTATAGAGGAGTTACCCCCCGGGTAGTGAAGATCGTGCTAAACTAAAGGCTGCACTACACGAACTTAAAGCTGCTGCCCCGATCGAAATTCCCGTTTACGTGAATGGTGAAGAGGTAGGGTTTTTTTTGTCATACGCGAAGACACGCGTACATACACACGTACACGTACACATACATATATATACATATATATAATTTTTTTCATTTTCTTAAATTAGATTCGTACTGGTCGAATCGTTGAACAAAGAATTCCTTCCGATCATAAGACGGTACTAGCCAAATATCATGAAGCTGATTCATCAATTGTAGAAAAAGCCATTAAAGGTGCTTTGGCAGTTAAACCCATTTGGGAAACTTATCCATTTAGTGATAGAACTGCCATCTTTTTAAAGGCTGCTGATTTGGCTGCTGGAAAGTATAGATTTAAACTTTTGGCTGCCACAATGCTTGGACAGGGCAAGAATGCTTGGTAAAATAATTAATATAATTGATTTTTTTTTTTAAAATAAAATACATAATACATATATCTAATATATAATATTATAATATATAGGCAGGCCGAAATTGATGCAGCTGCTGAATTGGTAGATTTCTGGAGATTCAATTGTAAATATGCTTCTGAAATTTATCAACAGCAACCACCAAAAAATGCTCCTGGTGTTTGGAATCGTGTAGAATATCGTCCATTGGAAGGTTTCGTATACGCTATCTCTCCATTCAACTTTACTGCAATTGGTGGCAACCTTCCAAGTGCTCCTGCTTTAATGGGTAATGTTATTCTTTGGAAACCTTCTCCAAATGCCGCTCTTTCGAATTGGATTATTATGGAAATTTTGAAAGAAGCAGGTCTTCCCGATGGTGTTATTCAATTTATTCCTGGTCATGCTCAGGAAATTACTGATCAAATATTGAAATCTCCTGATTTCGCCTCTTTACATTTCACTGGTTCTACTTTTGTATTTAAAAAGTTATGGAAAGAGATTGGTAATAATATTGATATTTACAAGTCATATCCAAGAATAGTAGGTGAAACTGGTGGTAAAAATTTCCACGTTATTCACGAGTCTGCCAGTGTGAAAAATGCTGTAAATCAAACCATTCGTGGTGCTTTTGAATATCAAGGTCAAAAGTGTTCTGCTTGTTCTCGTGCTTATGTTCCTGATTCACTATGGGATAATTTCCGTGAAAACTTGCTCAGTGAACTTTCAAAAGTTAAAGTAGGTCCTATGGATGGTAAGTTATGTTTTTACATTAATACAATGTTTAATTTTTATCACTCGTTTAACATTTGACACATTTTCATATTAATATACATCTGACCAGAATTCGGCAACTTTGTGGGGCCAGTCATGTAAGATTCTAATATTATGCTTCATTTTTATACTCTTATGTAAATAACTCTATTCTATTTCACCAGACATGCTGCTTCTTTTGAAAAAATCAAAGGTTACATTGAATGGGCCAAAAGTGATGCAGATTGTCAAATTATTTCTGGTGGAACTTATGATAACTCAAAAGGTTATTTTGTGGACCCTACCGTGATTGTCACAAAAAATCCAAAGAGCAGAACTATGTGTGAGGAAATCTTTGGGTAATTTTATTTCCTTTTAAATTAAGATTACAAAAGATATTGAAGGTTTAATCTAATTATTATTATTATTATATTATAGACCAGTTCTCACAATCTATGTGTAAGTAGCTAATATATCGTCTTTTAAATTTAATAATCTTAATTAAGAAAGATTTTCTTTTACTTTAGATATAAGGCGAATGAATACGAGCAAATACTTGATTTAGCTAAGGAAACTTCTCCGTATGCTTTAACTGGATCGATGTGAGTTAAAACTGCATGCTATAATCTATTCATTTTACATACATTACAATAATCAATATTATAATTTGGTAGCTTTGCCAAAGATCGTTCTGCCATTTTACTTGGTGAAAGTAAATTAAGACATGCTTCCGGTAACTTTTACATTAATGACAAATCTACTGGTGCTATCGTTGGTCAGCAACCATTTGGTGGTTCGCGTGCTTCTGGCACTAATGACAAAGCTGGAAGTCCTGCTTTGGTAATCATTGTTGGAATTTAATATTTATGCATCTTTTATGCTATTAATATGTATGAATCTAACAAATTACTGATTATTACTTTTTTTTTTTTTTTTGTGCATTACTAATAATGTGTTTAGTTATATCGTTTTACTTCAATGCGCACTATCAAAGAAAACTTTATCGACATTGAAGATTTTGGTTATCCATCGAATTTGACATAATCCTAGCTTCATACGAGTACATTATTTTAAGATAAATAAATTCCGTTAGTTGAATTAAAATTGATTTGGTTGTTTTAATAAGTGGTTATTTTTAAATCGAATATTTGAAACCGGTAAAATTCGCAAATACCATTATGAGTTTAGTTTTCAGTATACACAAGAAATTCCATAGTGCCAGTATAATGAGCGGCAAAAGCTTGGCCATCTCCAGTTGGTTGCGAAAATGCCAAATCACTAGATCTGAGAACACATCCATACGTAAATTTTTCTCTATAACATTGAATAAATATCTTAAATATTTTTATATTATTATATTTAAATTTGTAAACCAATAAGAGTTATTTAGCGTACCTAACAGTATTTAATAGTTTTGTCGCAATACCTTTCCTCCTATATGGTCTGGATACCCATATTCGGTTTATTCCACAAATAGCTTGAATTGGCTTTGTACTAACCATAAATTAATTGTCTGAATAATTTGAATAATTTACAATGTAAATTTCAAACTTTAATTTCACTATAAAATACTAACAAGCAAAAAATCGCAGATCCATTATTTGATGTCCCGACTTGCATTTTTTCAACTTGCATACCGTTATTATCACCGCGTAAAATTCTGTATGCTTGCGTAATTGGTTCAGCTATTACGCACCCTTCAACCCTTTTCTTGTCAGTAACATACAAGTAAATCTTGCACTGATCTAGTTTCTCCTCACTTAGTTCCACAGAGTTCAATTCTGTATCAATTACATCAAGAATTTGGAGTATCTAATTCAAAATAAATATATATCACTCGTAAGATTTAGTATTTATTAATAGTATGTAATAACGATATCATTTCTATGAGATAAACCTTTCGCTTTTCAAACGGATTGGATTGGCTATATACGAGCATCATTATGCGACTATTATCCTCTGGAAATTGCTTTAACATAATTTCATGCTTATAACTCTATAAAATTATCATTGTTATTGTCAATATTAAAAAAAAAAGATGAATAGTAAACTTTTGTAAATTGAATTTTACCGTATAAGCAATTCCTCTGACAACCGCCTTATGATATTTTGCATGTATTGCTTCATCTTCGACTGTGCCTCGACTATAAGGCATATGACACTCCGGACATGTGTAAGTACTGAAATTCTTTTGCCCAAAATCAAGAAACATTTGTTCCGCTTGTTTGACACGCTTCTTTGGCGGTGAAGTAGAACATGAGTGAGTTTTCGCGTTATTTTCTGAATTGAATCGTGGTATCAAAGGATACGTTTGCTTTCGTTGTCTCTTAATTATAATATTTCCAGAATCATCATCTTCATCACCCGATAAATTTTCGATCCTAACGACGGTTTTTGATTTGAAAAAATCATTAATGGATTTTTGTTTGACTTCTAGTGAATAGTATTGAATGTTGTCAGTTGAACAAGTAATTGCAGCGCGTTTTTTCGGTAAAAGTGAAACGCTTTCTCGCTTACGTTGCGAAGGACTTTCATCAATATTAGGGAGACTTGATACATCTTGAAGTTCCACGATCTTTGACTTTTGCGCTCTTGAGGGGCTATTCTCGTGACACGTAAGACTAAGAATCGAATTTAATAATAAAAACGCGAAAAAAAGAAGTTCATATGGGCTGCCGTCAATAGAAATCAAGCAGATTGACATTTTAAAAAAAATTAATCCCTTAACTTTTATAATTTATATCTCGATGAATTTTGATGTTAACTTGACGAATTAATATTCAAAAAAAAGCTTAAGATCTAGACTTTCTTTTGAATATTAATTCATCAAGATAGCCTCAAAATTCATCGAGGTACAAGTTGTGAAAGCTAAGAGATTAATTTTTTTTAAAATGTTAATCTGCTTGATTTCTATTGACGGCAGCCCGTATATCTATATACATACGTACCTTGGAACTCTCCCATATGTCTTTATGACTTTTGGCTTTTCACTATTCATTGAAAATTTTTGAAAATTATAATTTTTATCTCATAACGTATATACTAAATTTATCATAAATCATTGCATTTACCCTGATGCAGCAGTCGATTGAGACATTTCTTATTGAAAATGATCTAAACACATTAAAAATATATTATATACTGATTGATCCTATGCATGTGACACGTTGCGACGAGGTAATTACATTTTTTATCAAAACTAGCTATATAGTGTTTTTTTCTAGTACCCGCGATTTTTGCACGATTTGTGTGTAACATCTGCAATCGGTGAAAAATTTCTTTATCGATCATTTGTTCGAAGGTTTGATCGATTGAACTACTATCGATTAAAAATTAAAGATCGATCCAAATCAATTAATTATTATACGACCGATCGTATGATCGATCATTATCGCTATAATACAAATTTTTTTTTGGTATAATATGTATCTCTGATAAGATACATAATTTATTCTCTAGGCAAGGCCACTACCATATAGAAACGCGCTATTTTATGCACAAATCGTAATTTATTGAGCCATCTTAGTTTTTTTTTGGTTAGATGCAAGTATCTTTCTGTAATTGCATATGAATAATTACTACAGTGTATACAACCTAGTCACAGCAAATAAAAATTTTTAGCGGCCAAATTCAGATTTTATTTTTTATATATATAAAGAGGCCAATTTGAAATTTTAGTAATATTTATATATAAAGTGGTCAAATTTTAAAGTTTTAATATATATAATGTGCCAAATTTTAAATTTTTAATATATATAAAGTGGCCAAATTTTAATTTTTTGATATACAGTATTTAATTGTTTAAAGAGGCCAAATTTACTTTTTTTTATATATATAAAAGATGGTTAAATTCTATACATAATGTAAAATCGAAGCGAACCTTTTTAAGGCAGGTCAATATCCATTCAATATGTTCACCAAGTATCGTGTGTATATTAGCCAATACTATTAAATTACGGCAATTTTCTGACCTTAATCAAGATTAAGTATAAAGTTTTTTTTTATAAATAGATTTAAAAAAAAATTTAAAAGCTTAAATTTGTTAAGCTTGTTTTAATTTAACATTTTAAGATAGTATTTTTTGTTTATTATTTTTTTTAAAAAAGAGCAATTTGAGTTTTATTAATTTTATTTGCTAAAACTAGGTTGTATGCACTATAATTATTAGAAAATAGTAAAAGAAGCAAGAGGTTATCTTATAGTTCTAAATGTGTATTAGAGCAGTGTCATTTATTATCTTATCAATTATAATTAATTAAAATTATTAGATCTTAATCAATAATAATTATCTATACTGATTAAATGCAATAAAGATTTTAATTGATTATAATCAATACAAATTGAAGCTAATTGATTATTATTAATTGGTGATCTACCAGTCAACTAGAGAGTAATTAATCATAGTAAAATATAACTTAAATTACTTTTAAAAATTGGAGGTTTCCAAATATGGCGTGTATACATCTAAAACTTTTTTTTATACTAAATTACATTAGCGAAATATATTAACGTAAACTTACACAAGTTATTACGCCCCAAAATATTGCGCAATAATTATGGTCTGGGGATAATATTGCGCAAAATATTGCAAAATATTGCACAATATATAGCGTAATATTATGAAATATATTATGCAAAATAACAAAACTTAAAGTGCAATATTATGCTACTTATTGCGCAATATTTCGAATTATATCGAAACAATTCAAAATAAATAAAATGCATCAAGCCAGTAAAATATTTATATTATAATAGATAACTACTTATTCATAAGATTTGCTAATTTATTTAAAATTATCAAATACTATTCAATTAATTTCCGGGTATTTTGAGATATTTCTAGAGTTGTATAACTTACCATAAGTTATTTTTAAAATGTAAGTTACATTTTATGTTGTGTAAGTTACCATGTAAGGTAAGTTATATAATGTAAGATA